TCTGTAGTTAAACGCTGCGACTTGTTAGAAAAATCCCTACCACAAGCCAAATCTACCTTACTGAAGTGGCTGCTAACTTTAAATTATAATGATACTGAGAATCTTTTGAAGATACAATCCTAGATCCTGTAACATATTTATCTCTTATCAATTTATATAGCCGTACATACACATTTATATTATATATTTAACTTAAGTTTTTCTTCTTTTCACTAACTTAAATTTTGTTTTTATTATATGTATACCGGAGTAACTGAATTGTTAAATGCTAAAGTGTCGTGAGTGTGGGTTTTGTAATTTTGTGGACTGAATATTATATACCTATCTGAATATCGGTGCCCACGATACAGGCATTGCCTAGTGTGGGCATCACTAAATTATCCAAATTAACCATAAATGGTAACTTAGGTCTAATTTAATTTCTTAGTTATGTGCAATTTTATTATGTTAGTTATTGTTTCTTGGTTTAATCTGTTACCTATAATAATAAAAACTTTTCTTTCTTTCTTTAATCTTAAACATAACCACATTACATTGAGGCGAGGTGGTTTGCAAACCTGTAAAGGTGTAAATCTTGTATTAAGCGATAGATATACCGTAGTGTGGTTTTATTATGGAAAGTCAAAGTATTGTAGTTATTAGAGGCGCGTTACACCGGAGACAATAAGACTTAGGGAAACAGAGCGTTGTTCGTGCGCGGCCGCGCGTTGTAAAAGTAACAGCGCGAATACTCCAGGTGAAACTCGGCTGAACTGATTGCGACGAGACCACATCTGCCATACATTCCTCTATTACAACTTATCACATTTAATATTCGATAGTTTTGCTGCAATCGATAACTTCGATCTTACAGCGTAGATAAACGCGCTTTATCCAGCGTTAGTGAGTGGGAATCTCGCGGAAAGAGTTTCCAATTTATTCAACTTGTTTTATAGCGATTTTGAACTTTATATACCATTCATTTTTTTCTTGAATGAAGTCCCATTACATTTTATTGATACTTATATTTTGCATTAAGTAATCTTACTAATGTTATAAATGCGAATGTTTAGATGGAATGAATGGATGAATGGATGTTTGTTTGAAAGTATCTCCGGAGCGGCTTAACGGATCTCGCTGAAATTTGGCATAGATGTAGAACATTATAGAAGAACACATAGGCTACTTATTAAGTTGTTTTTTTTAATTGCGCGCGAATGGTGTCGCGGGCAACAGCTAGTAATTTCTTAAATAAAATTTAAAAAATAGATTCATATCATTATTAAAAATACAAGTCGAAAGTTTACATTTTCAACTGCAATTGGATTTAGACTTGAAAATGTAAATGTGTATTTTTTCTTGGTTTAATTGACTGTTCACAATACTCAAACCTTTGTGTTCTCAATAAATCAGTTATTTTCTATTGGACCGTTTGTAGACTCTTACTCAATCACGTAGGTGACAAAACAACATAAACAACTTTTGATTAGAATACAAATATTACACCTTTTTATACATCTTCGATAGATCTTTCTAACGGTATATCTTTTATAAATATAAACATGCAGTGGAACACAAGTTCCGAGAAAACAAAAATAAAACAAAAACGAATATTTTGACCGTGCTTTTAGAATAGGAATAATTTGATACATAGTTCGCAGCCGTCGTCAGTAGAGATTTTTGGATATTTATAAAAATATTTTTTATTCTAGAAAACGTAACTTACGGTAAATATAAATTTTCGGAAATATTAAACCAGAATGCCACATGTATAATTTACTATAGCGACATTTTAACTAAACATAATTTTCGTTATAAATTTTTAAAATTTGAAGTCTCTAATAGTTTTTTTACCCGACCCTTATGAGATTGAAAGTACTCTCTACGGATTTCCACAAACTTCGAAACCTTGTGTAGTCTTAATATCAAATAAAATTTTATTAAAGGAACTCCTAACACCGGTCCATGGTTTTATCTTTATAAAAGGTATTTATTTCTTTAAAATTCATCATAAATATAAACTTAGTTAAGTGCTTAGCTTTAGCATTGCCATGTGAACCTGCAGATCCTTATACGTATATCATATAACTTAGTAAAGTAAGGTGCATTGCATTTATTATGTAAATGAAAGTAAAGTTGTTCCACCACTTGTTTGCGGCTAAGCATCCATAATTTTCTCACTTTAGCTCATAAAAATGCAATTCTGTTTTTACTTGACAGAAAGAATAAGTTACAAAAAAGTTATCATGTTTGTCAACGTAAAAGTTTCATATCCATAATTATTTTTACAATAAGTAAAAAAAAACCTATACGTTTTAAGTATTCGTTACACGCATTTCTAATAATAATCTATTCTATTTTAATTTAATGTTTTAAAAAGCTATTCAATGGTTTAAAATTTGTAATATAACAATCAGTAAATTATTAGAAGAATATAATAACTGAACTATTACGAAAATAGAAATAAAATAAAGTTTTTAATACGAAAACACAATACAAGCGACCTTGTCCTTACGTTACGAATCGTAACTTACAAATACAATCGTACAGTTTTTATGTAGGTAGACAGAAAAAAATTAGATTGTCGATAAAAAAAGTTGCAATCTCATGGTGCTTTAAGTTAGTCCAGTTTCACAAACAAGGTGAACAACGGGTTGGGTACCGATCGGGGTGGACTCACTTAGCCCGTAAGAGACAAGAGTCACGACGAGCGTAGGTCAAAGCCCTTGGCGGTTTTTTTTGAAATAAAAAATCGATACTTACGAATCGATCGCCTTGGTACAGCTATAGTTCGAACTGAACAACACTATGCGTGGATCGCGAACATCACTAGATAATTTATCATAATCACTGGTCGCGCTAAATGGCGGTCCTCCACGCGTGCTCGTGGCGCGATGTCTGGAGACAAACTAAGTGAATATCTTGGTGCCTGTGGTGCGTGACGACTGCACGTGCCCGCTGCCGCAGAGCGACGCGGCGCGAGCGCATCTCAACTCTTCGCGATTAGGCTGCCTACACAAGCAGGATATTACTTCTATATATATCCCAAGTTCTTCTAAATCAATATATTATAACTGGCGTGTAATACATACTATTCATACTCTTCTTTATAGATTTTGAAAATACTCTCGCACTCAAATTACACTTCTTTTCACTAATCACTAATCATGATATCAGCGGATATTTCTGGTAATAAAATTGAAAAACTTTATATGTAATTTATTGATACTTAATTATCGATTTATACCAACAACATCTGTTTTAATAAGCTCCAAAAGGGTTTACAGGACACTGCACAAGAGGGGTAAGTCAATGCTCTTGTAAAAACTAATTTAATGTAAGTTAAGAAATGTTCAGTGTGCAGGAATCCTATTGCTGGAAGTTTAACGCGTTGCCTTCATCTACTATTTTGATAATAAGTTGCCAGATTGCGTCATAAATGTGGAGTATGCTATTACGTTACTTAAGTTAGTAGGAAAACCTACGAAGTTAGTACTTCACGAATTTATTTATTAATTTGTTATTGAATTATTTTTAAAGCTTACCTGCAACACTTTTCTATTAATTCTGAAGAGAAAACGTGTTTATAATTTGTTGCATGCGCGAAACTGGTGAAAGTTATTACGAATTAAAATCAAACATAGATCAAAATTTAAATTTAATCAATGAAATGTCTAAATTTAGTCGTATATTTAAAACAAGTATTATTATGAACCGTGCTAATTTATAGTGGCCTGGAGCACCATCATATTTATATTAAGTATACTTTTTTTTCTCCAGGTTTCGAGTTTATGAATGTTGCTTGACGCTTCAGTTTTTGCCACGGTATTGTTAATATAATCCGTAGCTCCACTAACCTGTTCCCGCTAAAAATATACTAGTCCACGCTTCTTTTTGCCTGCGCTGTCAATCATGAGGCAGACTAATAACACTGCTTATTATAATGTCCAGAGTAGTCTGAAGCTAAGTGATGGTAGAGCTATGTATAACCTTTTGGGTTCACCTATGTTATTATGTTATTATTTAAAGCAAAATTTCCTAAAAAAAAATACTTTGTGTACCAAAAAGTAATAGCTACAAGCTAATAGACAAGGAATAGGTAAATTAAGGAGGTTCACGGAATACTCATCATCATCAGCTCTCTATACGGGGGGTTTTGGAGCCTCCCTTAAGTCAGTGACAGAATGACAGTCACAGAATACTAAACTAAGGTCCATATTATGTGGATAAACAGTTTATTATCGATTGGGGATTGAGCTTCTTCGTTCTTGAAAGTACGAAGATATAACAAGTAATTAGTCACAGTCAATTTATTTCTCTGCGGTAAGTATAAGGTATCGGATTATGCGATAATGAATGCGTGTTATTGTCGTAGTGTTTCCTATGTACATAATATGCGACTTTCCCATTCCGATACGATTCTTGAACGCCGTGTTTATTATGCGCCGATCGAGTGATCATCGCGCCCTGATTATTCTGATATGACGTAGGACGCCTTGAAATATAATATGTACTTATGTATGTGATATTAATTACTAAAGACATAGTTTGCGTTTTTGGGTTTGATTATAATAGAAAAAAGGTCGATTTGATCTCTGTCAATGAGTCACTTTTCTGCACTGCTTAGTTAATCTTGAGTCCCTTTTATATAAAAATTGTAAAATATATATTTTTCCGTGAACTTTATAAAATGAGGTTCTAAGGCATCGATGTTTTACCTTATGGCTGACGAATTTCCTTGTAATTTAAGTTTCTTTAAACTTAACGTAACGTTTTCTGCTACGATCTTTTCCAACGAGTGCGGCCGTGTAGGGTAATGCTGTGACTGTTTTTGCGGCTAAGGCATAGTGTGAGAACATTGCTTCGTCTATAATTGTGTTACTTAGAAAATTACTTAGCTAATGAGATGCGTCAACTTGTATCTTGTGAATGCCATGGTAATTAAATCGATAAAAAACGAATACGACAAGGTTTAAAAATATTCGTAGAATTTAAAAATGTTGTGTAATTCTCCCATGTTGTATTGAGCTAAACTTTAGAACATATTTACTTGTATTATTGACGACAAGAATGCAGTTTTAAAGATGTTTGTCGCTTATTAAATTGAATTGGCGGAAATCACGTATAGTCCTTTCCCTTGCGACGCCAGCGCAGGTGTAATGCACATCACACACATAAAGTACAAGTTTAAACCATTTTCTTATTATTTTTAGAGATAATTAAATACATATTTAGATTGTTACTTTACTTGTCTAGGTACTAATCGCCAAATTGAATAATAAAAAATATCGATTATTACGAAATAGCAGTATCGATTTTTCAACTTACCTGATGTTAAATATTTATTATCTGTAGTCGATGTAGTGAATTACAAATTAAAATATAATGAAACTAAGAATAAAAAGAAATAATTTATCAGTAACATTTAATTTAATTAAATAAAAGTATACGTCATAGCTAAACGATGAACATAGTTTTTTTTAAATTTTGTTCTTGTTTTATATTGTACAAGAAATGGCAATGACGTAATGCACATTAGCAACTTTGTAATATAATTATATTTATTTTTGTATAAATAATTAAATCCAATTTTGTTGTAATAGAATAAAATAATTTTTGTAACTTTTATTTGATTCTTTTTTTTTATAAATTTTATAGGCAATAAATTATTTTTAATTAAAAAAGCTGGTTAATGGATTCGTCTACAAAACAAATAAAATTAATGAAACTAAAAACGAAATTGCACTCATAGCAAACATTTTTTAATCAAAATCTCTCCCTTTTTCATTTCATTCTTGCATTATGTACTACAAAATTTACCACTTACAAAAGCGCTTTTCATTTACCATATATAAAAACTAAAGTTTATAATCTAATGTACAACAATTATATTTACACCATTCTATATTATTACATAACATAATATCGAATGTATGGCCTGACATACAAAACGATCCCACAATCACAAACAATGACACCATAACCGTAACAATCCCAGTCTTATACTTTGTGAACTTTCCTAAAAGGCCAATTGTTCTAAGTCCTAAGTTCAAATGATGAAATCTATATCGGCAACCTTAGCGTCTCTTAGCAAAGCGTGACCTTTACGTAACAATAGTACTTACAATACAATTATATTAAAATGTTTCTCATCTCTAGTTACATATAAACTTATAATAAATTCATAAACCTATTCATTAAATTTTACAAGAAATTTGACAGAAAGAACCGTCCAATTGATTTCTCTTACCATTTCACTGTTATGATACGTCCCATTCCATTATTTATTTAATTTCCATTTTTTATGGCGCGAAATTAGCTCGAAGCATTTTCCTTCAGGCTAAAGAGAAAATCTAGAATTGTATTTACTATCAAACTTTGGTTTATCATAATTCACACCTAATCAGTCTAGTTGTGGGTTAAATATTTTTCGTGGGACGTTCTTCGTCGTCGCTATGTTCTTCCTCTAACAGCAAGGAGTCCGGAGGGCCCCGCGGCACTGCGCGGGAACTGCCGCTTCGCCGCGGACCACCGCGTGTAAACATTCTTGATAGCTGCGCGAATTTCTTGCGAGATACTGAAACGTAAGTACACAATCATTAATGAGGCTAAAACGAGAATTATTTTAGTGTCGGACATTAACATCGTATCCAAGAAATAAGCAAGACATATGATATAATTAGTGACAGTTTAGTATTTACCGTGATTCGGGAGTGAACTATATCTTGGCACAAGCTTTAATAAAAACCTAAACATCAATATAGTACACCTTTACTAGGGGTATTTAAATTATTTCGGTAGCATCCAAAGTGAATACAAATATTATAGTTTAAATATGATATCAAAATTTGATACTGGTTAAATTGAACCTGTTCCGTAATAATGCAGCACTAAACGTGATGGATAGCATTCTTGGTGTGGGTGTGTTTACAGCAATGCGTATGTTTACACGTGGTTGGAGCCGCCGCCATGTGGCGCGTACTTCAATTGTTTGTTCATACCTTTGGAAAGGTATGCTAAGGAAATTACGATCTTTGTAACATCTACAATGGTAGTCAATAAACAAGAAGTACTTTCACCTTTCTGACTACAATAAATCACCTAAAGATTCGATGCATCCGCAGATGAAATGTAATAATTTTCCTAGTCATTTTATCACACATTGTGACTATTTTGAATGAAATCAAAACTTAATAAGTGATTCTAATTTATAATTATCAATTTTATTACATTTACACATCTTCGGACTTCAAACTTACATTTTCCCATAGTTTTTAATCTTTCCTTGAACGCTGCTTCGTCATCGTGACATTTGGTTTTATGACCTTGTTCGCTATCCAATGCCGCTATAAACTCCTGATTCCACCGAAGCTCAGCCATGAACTCTTCGTTCTGTAGGAATGCTGCGATTTTGTCGTCATCCATATCCAAACTTAAGTCTACTCTCGCATCTTTTACTTGAGGAATTCTGAGGAATGATGGTGGTAGTGCACCAATTAACTTCGGCACCCATTGTCTTCTTATTGCCAGTGGTATACTCTCGTCATTCACGTCTCTGTAAAAAACAACTACATCAAAACGTAAATAAAAACTTTGAGGTCTGTTATTCGATAGTTCTTAACTATCTTTACTAATTTAATAAAGCTAAGTTTATTTCTTCGAATGCCTCCTAAAGATCAGTTCACTTAAAAGCGCATATAAATTTAGTTTACATTAAATTATGTTAACTTCTTTCTCGAAACTTGGAACTATTCCAATGCGGTTAGAAAAGACTACAATCACTTTGAGCGTACATTCCGAATGCGGTGTTTTAATTTACTAAAGTATACCATGTATCTTAATTACAAAGCTATGGGACACATAATTAATCTGCTTAATGTATAGTAACCTCGATTAATTGGGTTTGTGATTTATTACCCTATGACCAGTAAATGTGACCGTACAACATAATGGAGCGTATTCGATTTCCAGAGCATAAAAAATAACGACAAACGTCTCATCACATTATCTGAATAACTAAGTAATTAAGCTAAGAATAATTTATTAAGTTTACAATTCTATTATTTGTTAACATATATGACATGTATTATTGTGGCTTTAACTATATAAGTATACAATTATTATAGGAAGAAAAACAAATATAATAATTTGTTTTAAGGTTATGCGAGAATAAGAAGACAATGCGGAATAAATCAATAATTTATGTTTACGTCCTCATAAATGTTCTTTGTAAATTTTGTACGCTTTGAACGTTTTAATAATAAATAATTATTTATTGTTAAAACATGTCTGAAAGCCAGCACAATATTATATTCTGAATGCGGAAAGCAACAGTAAAATAATCATCTATTTTCATTCTCATTTCCATTGAATGTTTACTGCACACAATATCAATGATTTTAATATTTGAATAACAGTAAACGTAATTTAATACTTAATACTTATTAATATCTATAGTCAACAATTAGGGTTAACGTCGACTCCTCATTTTATCATCGAATTTATAACTAATGCTCATAACGATTTCTACTGAACTAAGGAAAAAATAATAGGGTAAGTGGTCGTATTTTAGCACACCAGACGATATTATTTCAGTTTCGTAATCGATATTATGTTTACGTTATTGTAACAACTTTTTACTCATGTTTCACAACTGACAATGACACACATTCATGGCCGTTTTTTGTTGCTCCTTATAATGTATTTGGCTGATACAAAAGATGTTTTTTTAGATCGTGCCTAAGGTAAAAGCACGTCCATTATCCAAAACTTGTAACGGCATTCTATGGAAATTTGGAAGCGAACAAAAAATATCATGGAAATTGGTAATTTCAATTTTAAATCATGAGATCATTAGAGTGATTGTGAAAGTTAACAGACATGTAATGGCTTTGTTTACAAATCGAAGATAACATGCCACACATATAATCAAATTATAGCATAGGAAAGACGTTTAAGTACTTTCAAGAGTCATTATGAGATCCAGTTTTAGTTTTAAAAAGTTAAGTGTTACAAAATATGTCAGTAAACAAATTATATAAACAATGTTGAGACTAGACATCGGATGTCAGGCTTTACATTATTTGTATGTATTCGTGGTACGTCGGCATTCGCCGGTAAGCAGTAGCTGTGACGTCAGCGGCTCGGCAAACTGCTGCTGAGTCAATACGATCAATGGTTTTGTTTGCTAGTTTGCAACCCTATTAGATTGATATCTTTAACGTAATATGGCGGCGTCCGGTTTGCTGTTTGCTCTATTTATGTTCTTTGTAAAGGGTGTTTTATTCGAGACAAAAAACTATTAAATTTTCCCCACCACAACACAAACTGATGATACTATAAATTAACATTTCTTTCTTACTAGACTTGTCATTCAATACGAAATATTGTTAACAAAGGGTAATATGACTTACATAGAAGCTGCATGGTTGCTATTGCAACCGTTTACAACGACGTTCCCCTTGGCTGCGGACTTAGGGAGAGTCTTGCGGCGCGGTGAGCCAACTTCAACGCGCTCCATCTCAAGCCGCAGCCGCTCGTTCTGATTGTCGGTGCTCATGGCCAGCAACTGGTCGATGGTTGCGTCCACCGCGCCCTGGTTGGAGCGCAGTACCGCCTCTATCACGTCGTCGTCCATGTCCGGGAACATGGTCTTGAAGTCGGTCATCGCCTGGGTGAATTCGAGCTGCATCGTGGATGCCATGTTAGTAGCGCACTCAGTGCGGTGCAGGAGGAACGTCACGAGCGCGGCGCCGGTGCCCGCCCGGCCGGCGTGTGACGCAGTGGTGCCGCAACGTGTCCGGCCGCCGCGGTGCCGTCGCCCATCGTCGCGGCGTGCTGGCCGCCGTGTACGGTCCGAGTACGCCGATGCTAATTAGCTCCCTTACGGCGTCGTCGTACCGTCCGGCGCCCGGCGACACCGTGATGTGCAATTTTCACTTTCGTCAGTGAGATTGCATAGCGCGTGCGCGAACCGCGGGGGCGGAGTCGTCGATATAAATAGAGGGCGCGCGCATCGCTCCGGTCGTGGGTCCCGATTCGACCGATAGCCGCATCACCATCGAGTCTGGTGCATTGTTTGTAAATGAACTGCGCCGGTTCGACCTTTAAAACGCCGCAGTTTAAACCATTCGATACAATTCGCTGCAAATTTGTATCGTTATTTCTGTACGCCACTACATTATTTCATTCTAAATTTATGCGACTGGTACAAAAAAATAGGATCCGTGCAGTAGTAGTAAATAACCGGCAATATCCAAAAGAAATATATTTGTATGAAATTATTATCATAGGGAGGAACGCACTTACCATTTATGCATAACACTTAAAACTTCTTTGGTCGCACTTCATTTTCGGACTGGCGCGCTTTGGTGATGATTATTCTTTGAATTTCATCAAACTTCAAGTATTTAGACGAACGCTATGACTTCGATTAAACCATCGTAGTTTGATAAGACGTAAACTCTGGGAGTAAAAGTAAACAATGGTATTAAAGTATTAATGCAGCAATTGTTAAACAATCTCAAAGTATAACATACGAGATAATTTGTAAATACATAATTATTACGTGGAGCTAGACTTAGAATTTGACGTCGTATATATTATTTACATCATTCATCCAGTGGGTCTCACTGCTTCATCTTTACAATAAAATGTCAGTTCTTAGATGCCATTTCAATGCGTTTTACACCTTACCTAGGAAAAAAAGGGCAAGCTTAAAATGATAGCCTTAAAATATGAAAAAATAAAACACACAGCAGTTTTTTTTGCATTTTCTTTAATGATTAAATTCCAGCTTACATTAACATCAATAATTTAATAAGGTTGTTAATAGACATACAGTTTAGCTAGTAGTGCTTCGTACTATCTAACGTACTATAATGCCGCACATCTATACTACGCGATAATTTAAGTTATTTTTAATAGTTAAATGAATCATTTTTAACTAACCATAAGTACATAGTAAGAGCAAAAAAATAATGTTTTTTTTGTACAATTTAGGCCACGAGTAAATAAATTCAATATAATTGTACTGTACGAGAGAAAATTGGTAATAGAAATAGCAAAAATATATCTCAATATCAAAATAACACGTGGCTTACGATTTTAGTGAAAAGTAAAAAAAAACTCCCGTTAACACGTTCCATGCTACTATGATATTTTCGTTAGTTACCACGCCAGGCGAAACGGCAATAAACGTGTTAACTTGCCATTTAATGGCTTGGTAATGATGTGATTAACATGAAATTTATTATAAAATCATTCCCCCACTCTGACCCCAACCATGTTACAATACTAGAAAAAATAAATATCAAATATTAAAAATTAATATCTAAAACATAAGAAAAATTAAACAGTGATAGTTTTTTCTAAACTTTTACTGTCGTTATGGCGAACTAGTAATAAGCAATTATTTATTGCCTACCAAATATTTAAAGATATAAATATATTACATGGTCGTATTTAACGACTCTACCGAGAACATGATATTAAAATATGTATTAGTTAAATGTAAATTGAATTAATATTTACCATTGTAATGTCACGACTTTAAAACACTAAAGAAAATAGAGAGAGGAAATTTATTTATATTGAGAAGTAAAAACAAAAAATAATTTTACATGCTAAAATATTATTTATGTCATGAATAAAATAAAACAAGAACGATAAATAAAAGCGTATACAAAATTAAAAACAATTTTTTTTGAAAAACAAAAATATGTTTAATGAAAACACAATAATATTAATAATTATTGTTAAAGTTAAATAGCAGTCGAAAAAAGAATATTTTTTTCTGAAATAATTGTAAAAATATTTTTGTTTATTAATACATCGAATAAAATTTGATAGAAATATCTTATTCAATATTAGTCGGCTTTCGATTTTAGTTTCAGTTCTACTCAGCTATGTTAAAATTGATGATTTATATTAAAAAAAAAGGACGGAGCATTAAACAAAAAAAAGAATTTCGCAATACAAAATATATGGAATGTTATTTTAAGAAGCATATTTTAATTTATAAATTAAAATAAACAATTACCAAGGAAAGTATAAATTTGATGGCACAATGAAGATGATATTTTGAGCGAAACAAGACATGTAAGCAAATATAAAATTTATACCTAAATCCTAGTAATAAACAATTGAAAAATCCAGTAATTGGTACAACAGGGTACATCAAATACAGTGTACCCTTAACATACATCAAATAAAAAATAAAAAAATCAACAAAAAAAAAACGATTTTTTTACTTAGAAGCTATAGCCCATTTTTATGTCAAAAAAAGAAAAATGTATATCAATATCGATTGTAAGATATAATAATAGAATATATATTTGTGTATTAAACTTTACATATTTAAAATAAAATAGTAACTAAAATTTATATTTAATAAAAAAACAAACCTAACATTTAAAGCAGTACTTAATAAATTCAGAAGATTCGTGATAATTTTAGATTAACAAGTGAATTCCATTGAAATGCCTTATCGCAATAAATTAAAGAACATCGATAATTTTTTTGTTTTTTTTTCTACTCGAACAATTAGATAATGGCATTCGCCGTATGTAAATATTAGTGAAGAGATTCAAACGCGCACGTGCGTTCCCTGCTGCGGCAGAATCACGACTGTGTCAGTAGAGTGCTGTGCGAAGGGTGCGGGGGGCGCGGCGGCGGCGGCGGCAGCGGCTACCACAGCGGGAGCGACAGCGACAGCCTCAGCAGGAGCGGCGGCGGCGGCCATAGCGGGAGCAGCGGCGGATAATTCAGCCTGTCATACAAAATTAATTTAATTATTATCGTTAAAAACTATTTCTTTTTATTTACTGTCTATTTCACAAGTAAAACTTCGTTCTTCAATAATGACCTGGATAAAATATAACCAAATATGAGGAAAGGGAGTTAAGGAAACAAACATTTGTAGTACTTATATACATACTGTGGCCACGTTGGGGTCGACGACAGCCATGAGGGTGGCGGCACGGTAGGAGGGCGGGGGGGTCTGCTTGACGGCTTCCTCGTAGTCGGGCAGTAGATTAGCGTAGGGCGCGGGTGCGTAGGGTGCGGGTCCAGGGCTCGGAACATCGTTGGTGATCACGAAGGGGCTCAGCGCGGGGATCGACAGCATCGACAGGTATTTGAAGCAGCGCCACACCACACGCAGGCAGTACAGCTGTTTACAATACAAATTTTTATTAACAATAGTTACCAATAAACATTACAAAGATATGGGTCTGCCAGCAAACCCAGTATAACACTCGACTTTTTGGTCTAGAATCTAAAATTAGCGCCATATACTCATGGTCTTGTGAATGTAATCCTTCGCAGTACCTATTTAAAGCCACACACAAATATTTATCAAAAATTTTTTAACCGTTTCGAAGAAACATTGTCACATACTCAAGCATAAAAGAAAGGCAATGTTATAGTTATTTTCAAATATCTTGTCGGTTTAGTTATAGGTGCCTTGCCTTGCGCAGTAACCTTCCCCGACCTCTTGTTACACCTAAAATTGTGTTATGCGCAGCGACTAGCATGATAAGAGGTGCCAAGTCTGAAGCGAACATCTGAAAACATTTCATACCTTGATGAGTATAGCGAGCAGTATGGCACCGAGCACGATGAGCGTGAGCGTGGGCGTGGAGAGTTGCAGCAGCTGCGCGCGCCACGGCACACGCTTAGTCTCCGCGATCAGGTGGTGGATGGAGCGAAGGTGGCACAGGTATCCAGTCGCAGTCATCCTGACACAATGTAACAGCACTAATGTAGTATATGCCAGCATTTATAGATGCTAACCATCTCACTCAAAGTAATACTTGATAAAATCTTACTAATATTATAAACGCGAATGTTTAGATGGATGAATGGATGTCTGAAAGTATTTGCAGAACGGTTGAATGGATCTCCATTAATTTTAGCATACATATAAATCATAGTCTGGAAGAATACATAGGCTACTAACTATGGTTCTTTTTTTTGCGCGCGGACGAAGTAGCGTGCGACAGCTGGTATTAAATAAAAATACAACATATCAGAATGATTCATGCAGCCAACTGAACTTGTATATTTGTTATCATGTAAATGTGTCAAGTAAACATGTTTTTCATTAAAAGTACAATACACCACTAACCAATTTTACCTTAATTCAACTCAACATATTCTGTTAGTAAAATAATTGTAAATGTAATTATACAAATCATTCACTTTTTTAGTGATTATACATAGACAGATTTATAAAAGACTAGCTGTCGCCCGCGACTCCTTCCGCACGAAATTAAAAAAAAAAACTTAATGAGTAGTAAATGTGCTCTTCTAGACTATGATCTACATCTATGCCAAATTTCATCAATATCTGTTAAGCCATTCCGGAGATACCTTCAAACAAACATCCATTTATCCATCTAAACTTTCACATATATAATATTAGTAAGAAGTAAGATGTAGTTCACAGACAGTCTGTAACAACATACTACAATTCATACTTACAAAGTGATAGCAAAGTCGAATATTTGAAGGCAGAAGAAGGGAAGCAGGTGGACAGGCTTGCCTCGGGATGCACCATAGATCAGAAAGAGGGTAATCACCAGGGTACACAAGGTAACCAGTGCACCGAGATCCACATCACCTAAGACAAATAAAGTATGAATTAAAAAACCATACAGCTATTAAGTTTCATAATTAACTCATGGTACTGAATGGGGTAATATTGATAAATGCCACAATTTCAAAATTTTCATAATTTTACACAAATAAGTATGTATTAAGGGCCCTAGAAAGTAATAATAATATAATTGTTATATTACTCAAAAATCTACACTAGTCTTAAAGTTCACTACTGTAACTTACTGTAAATCAAGCTATAGTCGCGGGGTCGGTTGCCACGTTGCGGGTAGGGGCTGGGCGGCGGCTCGACGTTGGACAGCGGAGTGGGCATGGCCGCACCTAGCTCGCCCCAGTCCGCCGTCGCCGAGTCACGCTCCAGCTCCTCCAGCAGATGAGGATCGCGCACGATTGCCGCCAGGAATCCCAAAGCTACCAAATGTAGCATCTGAAATTAAATATTCATGAAAAATCTAATATATTGTTAAAACATCCAACAATGTTGATTACGTTATGTGTTTCAAAATACAAAAAGAATCTAATATATAAGGCAGATACCTATTCACAATGTGATATAGTTCTTCAATTTGTCAACATTTTATAGATTAATCAAATATTTAGTTTTGATTGCAAATATAACTCACCAGATGCCATGTACCAAGCAATATGGTACCGGTGCGCACATGCAGACAGAAGCAACAGCGCCAGTCATTGTTGCGGACACTTCCCGACTTGGGCCGGAGACGTAGCATTTTTGCAACTTCTTAAATCAAGCAATAAAGGTGTAAATTAGATATATATTCAACTATATCTTTGTACGATAATATGAGAGAAGCAACATGTTTCAATTGCTTAATATTGTATATATGTATAATACAATAATAAATTATGTACTTTGTAATGCTAATTCTAAAACATTTGGTAGCTTCAATTTGTAATTTTAGTTTAAATAAAATCTGAATTTTAATGTCACTACTTGAGGTAATTTACTACCAATAAGCAGGAAAATTTCTTTGCCACTAACAAACAACTTCATGTGAAGGCTACCAATAAAGGTAAAGATAATTTCATTGTCCCTTCTTGTTATGATTTCCTTGTAGCACATACTGGAATGTGTATTATATACCTCCATTTAATATATTCAAGTATATAAGCAATTTGTTTATCAATATGATTCACAGGAATGAAAATATAATTATAATATAAAACAATAGGTAATGTTTATTTCAATAAACTTATCAAGAGTCATAATAAACTCATTAAATATTTTTATGTGTAATTTATTTTGTCACATCATAAACATTACATGATATGTATAGTACTACAATAGTGGAGCCAAATAAATATATTGTCCATAGAAGCATCAACATAACTAATGTTATCCTCTCCTCTCCTATTATCTAATAAAAATGGAAAGGGGGAAAATAGTTCACATGAAAGGGAAATATTCTCTATCTATGAATTCTGTTATCTGTTGATTTAGGCTATGTTTTACAGTTGCAATCTTATAACTTGTTGCATATGTCTGTAGGTAAAGGAGATAGTTGTTAAGTAGAAATATTCTATGAAGAATTAGTATATAGAAGTATGTCTCATCACATTAGTGATGTGCTACTTGTTTTGGAATGATGGAATAATTATTTAAAGTGGATGAATATGGGTAAGACATATTGTTCCTCTCTGTAGCATTCGTTGTGTTATATTTGGCTCGTTCACATACCGACACGTGTTGCCGGCTCAAAGGTCTGACATCGACTGACATCCCCTCTCTCCAGCATGTACTTATGGCGTGTACGCTCGAGACAAACAACACTACGTTTATGCATACACTACACTCTCCCCTATATAAAATACATTTTCTTGATTAAGACTTACAAATCATTGTTATTAAAACCAAGGGTCACTTAATTTGAAATGTTTATTTGTTATCTTGCAATCTTTCATATATAATACATATATCTTGCTCTACATGGGTCCACTGTAGAGCTAACAGATCAAACAAATGTAACCATAGCATGGTAATGAAAGATAACTTAAATATATGCCTAGTTTTTAGAATTGATGCCTAGTTTACCTTATACCAGTACAGTAGTACACAATTGGCACACAGTAAACTCTGATACCAAAGAGCCAGTCCATGTCAGGCCAGCGCTACTGTCTTACTCTACTGGCATATTATCAACTAGACATTATTGATTTTTAAGAACACCCTATGCCCTATACTATATGTTAACATCAAATCTGGAAGGGTGTTATGGAGACATTTTCTTCAATTTTTATAAATCTGAAGCAATTTAGTTGCTTATCAAAACATACAATAAGAAAAAAACACCAAAGAAAATAATTTGACTTTATATGCCAATTCGTCCTTTTTTCAAATGCGTAATAAGCGTAGTAAGAGATATAATGATTAATTTAAAAAGTTAAGCTGTGGGAAATCATATTGGATATTTAATTTTCAATCGCGTATTCATTTTTGCCTAATCGCCATATCTACCCAATAATTTTAACATATTGAGTAATCAATAAATTTGTGATTAACACAGTAGTAAAAATCGTACCTGATTAAAAAAGACGAAAGTGTTCTGTAGTCTATACAAAATATGTATATAAATAAATGGTTAAGACTAGATAATGTTTAATATATCTATTCAAATAAGATAAGCAGCACAAATAAAACTCACAAAATCAGTACACTGACATTTGCAATTCACTATTTCATGAAAGATCAATACAGTTGCGCAGAATATAAATTACAAAGAAGACAGACCAAAGAGTATATAAAATACATGGACAGACTACAAATATAAAAGTTTTAATGCGTATATTTATTAAATATCAGGTATCATTTGTATTAAAAGGTCTTCTAAAACACGTGTATTACCCGTAAATATGTATCACTTCTTATTTGCTAAAATACTTAATTTTGAACCTTGTGTTCCTTTAGATAATATATAAACAAGTTTCGTTTAATTTTACTTGTAAGTACTTTAATGTTTAGCAAAGATAGTTCAAAGGATTTTTTTTGTATCTCAATCAAAATGGACTATCTTGGCTGAGTCTGAGCTCTTCTATTTAATCTTTGCTACCTACTCTTTGGAGTTGTATATGTGAAGAAATACATATGTGTGTATATGTAATAAAATCTATAAAATTTATATGGTTGGTTGGTCCTGGTTGATCCTGTTTAGTATTTCATTGTCATATTACGCATATAAACATTTCAGTTATAATGGAAAAAATTCCAGACCAAATCGGATATTTAATACTGACGGAGGATGGCGCCGTCCTTGAATCTGGTGGTGAATTAGAAAATGACGAACGCATCGCTACAATAATAATCGATCTTATCAGTCTGTCGAACACGTAAGTGCTCGCGTTTTATTAATACGATACTTATACTAAAATAATTAATGACATCATTACCTAAAACTTTAATGATTTTTCTTGCAGTGTTGATCCACTGGCGTTTGGGCCAAATGAAAATTTCAAAAAAATTTCCATCACGTATGACGACCATTGGTATGTGATATGTATGTCAAACAAGAAAATATATGTAATCAAGCGGCTTATACAAAATAACACCGACGAAGGAAACGCCATCGCTGTATGAAGAAACAATAGAAAACAGAAACATGGGGCGAAATTTATTGATGAGTAGCCTCGAAAATGCATCTTTCAATATAATTCTTCAAATTTTGTTTCGCTGTATCACCTTCGTGACTAATGCCTGGGTGATTAGGAATGTGGGACATGAAGTGCTTGGCATAATGAATGTTAGACTACTGCTACTGGAGAGTACAATACTGTTTCTAAGTAGAGAACCATTCCACCGAGCTTGTTTAGGTCAGAAGGATGAGTTTAGTTGGAGCCATATTATGAATCAGATTTGGTTATCAGTGCCGATAAGTTGTGTCTTATCAATTGGATTTGTGTACATATGGATAAATATTTTGCCATTGGGTCATCCCGAATATGCTTTTCAGTATGCCTTTGGTTGCTGGTCTGTTGCATTCTCGTGTATTTTGGAGCTGTGCTCAGCTAATATGGCCCTTGTTGCACAATTGTATTGTTTTGTGAAACTCAAAGTAGTCCTTGATTCTATGCATATTCTTGTAAGGACATTATTGTTTGTATCTATAATTGTATATGATAGATCTATGGCACTTATAGCCTTCTCTGTAGCACAAGTTGGCAGTATTGGAGTTATAGTTTTAAGTTATTACATATTCTTTTATTGGTACATTAGAAATAAACCTCTATATGCCAAAGGAGCACTTAAAAGTAAATTAATTCCAGAAAAAGTTATGAAGGGATTGTTTGATAATATGGATGATTTTACATATACATCCTTGAAGGATTTCTTCCCTAAGTATGAAGGGTCATTTAATTCTTTGTTAAATAAAAAGTTAAATACCCTGACTGTCAGTTTTGCAAAACAAGGTGTTGTCAAGCAGCTGTTAACAGAAGGGGAGAAGTATGTTATGTCTGTAAGTCCTGTGATGTCATTTAAAGAACAAGCTACTTATGATGTGGTAAATAATCTCGGAAGTCTGGCTGCCAGATTTGTTTTCAGACCTATAGAGGATAGTAGCTACTTCTATTTCACACAAATGGTCAAGAGGGAGTTGCCAATCCATAAACAGGATCAAAACAAAATCCAAGAATCATGTGCTGTCCTGTCGCAAGTGTGTAAGATTGTCAGTTCTATTGGTTTGCTTGTTCTTGTTTTTGGGCAGAGTTATTCAAAAACTTTATTACTGTTGTATGGTGGGGAAGCATTTGTTGAGAGTGGATTGCCTGTCCAATTACTTAAAAGTCACTGTTTGGCTATAGTCTTGTTAGCTGTTAACGGTATCACAGAATGTTATTGTTTTGCAACAATGACAAGTGCACAACTTAATAGTTACAATTATTTGATGGTGTTTTTTTCTATAAGTTTTCTTGTATTATCTTATGCATTGACATATTTCTTTGGTCCTGTAGGTTTTATTGTGTCTAATTGTATCAATATGTTTGCTAGAATTGTGCACAGTATTCATTTTATTAATGATAAGTATAAAGATACTGGGTATAAACCATTAAAAGGTTTATATGTTGGTAAATATTTTTTGTTGACTCTATGTATTGCTGGTTGTATTTGTAAAGTTTCAGAATATAGAATGTTGTCGTATTCCATGTTAACTCATATAGCAGTAGGAGGTATTTGTTTTTCATTAGTTCTACTTTCTTGGGGATATGAAAATAAAGAATTGATCATAAAATCATATACTAAGTTCAGAAATAAAGAAAGTAAGATGTCAATGGATTAGCATAGATTCTTAATAAAATGTGATGTTCTTAACAATTGCATTGTTTAATCTTCAAATATATGTAGACAAATTAAATCAAATATAACAAATAAAATACTTAGATTGAGTTTTCTTTAGCATATGCCTAATATCTTCACATAGGATAAAAGAAAATTCCTTTCATTTGTGCTTCACACACTTGTTTTACTTCCTCTGCAATAAAAAAATAAACTAAGTACATTTTATTAAAGGCAATTAAAATTTAAATAAATTCTTATGACGGTTAACCTTTACCTGCAATTTCAATCACATTAGCATTTTTCTTTTGAATAATAACATAAAATTCTCTTTCATTAGATGATTTTCCGGTAATCCAATATTCATCTAGTGTTTTGATAATAATTTCACCATAATTACCAAGACTGAAAACGAATCATAGATAAAAAAAGACAAAAAAACAATGCTATGACACTAGGGAAGAATATGAATAGCATGACACTTCAAATTTAATTAAGAAAATTGTGACAAATACGCTTTACACATTTCTATGGGTTTCATATTTATCATTCAACAAGCTGTTGCAAGCAACTTCCATGCTGATTAAAAAAAAAATACTAGCCTATATATTCCTTCCAGATTGTGTCGTTCTGGATATATCTGCTAATAAACATCCACCCATCCATCTAAACATTCGCATTTACAATGTTAAGATAGTAAGAATTAAGATTCGTTTAAATTCAATTAGTTACCTTTTTCTGTCTGAATGTATTCCTGCTATAATATTTAATACTTCTGGTTTGATAGCTGCTGATGGACTCAAGGAGTTTATTGGCACCTAAAATAATAAATTGAATACTATATAATAGTCATAAATTGTGAATAAATATTTTGATATAAATTCTAAGCCAGTATGATTTTTCGTACTGCTATGAAATTTTGCCGCTGTAAGATTTGTATTGAAACAAGTTCTCTGTGTTTTTTGAGGCATTACAACATATTTTTAAACTAGAGCTTCAACAATCGAAAGCCAGTTACAAAAACTCGAAGCGCATCACTGGACATTTTTTTTTTACTTACCGATGATTTGAATGCCAAATTAATTCTATTGAAATATAAAAACTTATTTTCTGTGTTGGCAAGCTGAGCATTTTGTAAAGCATGTAATGTGCATTGTTCACTTATTGTTGACGCGATGGAATACAGTTGAGGTCCAATGAAAGCATCAAGAGACTTCAATGTTTCTAATTCCAAAGTCTTGTCAGCTGAAATTAAATGAAAAATTCTTCATTAATCCACATAATTTTACAATTTCTTAGGACTCTGCCTCCTGTGCTACAGGAGGTAGTGCCTTCTCTTAATCTAGGTTTTAAATAGATTCTAATTTAAGCAGTGTGTAAATAATGTGTGTGTGCCTGTGCACATATGTATGCTTTATTAGAAGGAATGTTACAAATAAAAGTGTGATAAAGCTGTAGTGCATGTAATTTTTTTTATAATCTATGTTTTGTATAAAGAGAAGGTTATGGATGGATGAGATGAAAGTATTAATAAAAGTAGCGTCTTGTATAGTATAAACAAACTAAAGTAATAATACATACCATAAACTGTTAAACAAATTGTAGCACTCAGAGTTCTATAAATAATTAAATAATATTGTTTAGTTTCTGTATCATCTTCTAGTTTGAGGTATACTTTTATTATCTTATCAATGTCTTCATCTGTATGAATTCCATCACAGGGTGTGATGAAGCGGCCATGTCTTTGTGCAGCAGTCACTGCTCCACCTTGGATCTCTTTCTCCACTTGTTTCGGGAGTAAACTTTGTACTAAATATTGATATAATGTAAGCATATCATCTGTTGAAAGTCCATTCCTGAAAAAAGTAAAATTAAACTTTATCTCATCATTTTGTTTTTATATTTACACACCAATAAAGTAATAGAGCTTCGGTGGCTTACGGGTTTCAGCACTTGACTTTTAATCTACAGGTTGTGGGATGTGTGAAGTCAACCATACCTCACTGGACCAGCGTGATGGACTATGGCCTAGTCACCCCTATCCTAGGATAGTGTCCGAGCCCCTTAGTGGAAACATATAGTGAACTGATGATGAAGAATAACGAAATAATATATATAAGCGGTCCAAGTAACGACCACCAAAAATATATAGCCTGTATTTTGTTTACTACAATAATACTACTTCAAGTTTTACCCTAAATTTATAAGATAGCTTTAGTATCATGTTATACTACATACATACATTTTAAAAGGGTCTCATACATACCAAATAAGTTGTTCATTGTAGATAAATCCAATGCATTTGAAGTCTTGAAAGTTGATTTCTAAAAGGTCAATGAAACATACTATCTTGAGGAAAGAATTCTTTTCAAGTGGCAGATAATTAATGCCTTGTATAACATTTATCACATCATTTGTAATACATCTTGAAAGTATGTACTGTAAAATAAATGTAAACAATAATTACAGCAAAAGAAACTAAATGGGCACAATAAAAAAAATTCTCATTGGGCTACTTGATTGCTAGGATGATTAGCACAATATATAAAATAAAGGATACCTTTAAACCTGGGTAAATTAAGTATGGAGAATCATACCTCCCAATGTTCCAATTTTTTTCTATGTATTTTTTTTTTTTTATATCATAAGTTGGCAAACGAGCGAGCGGCCACCTGAAATCGCTGAAATAGCGAAGTGACCGTTGCCCATAGACATACGCAATTGCATATGCGTTGCCTACCTTTAATCGACGGAGGAGAGGATGCACAGAAAGAAAATATTTTCCCATCCCATGCATCCTCTCATCCGGAAAGTCCACTTCCACTTCCCATCCTTTCCTTATAAGAAAGAGGGTGGGAAGGGAAAGAGGACTATATAAGGCCTCCGGGACGCACACTCATCAGACGAAACGCGGAATTACTTCCACTTGACGCCTGTCTTCTGTGTGGTCGTGGTATTTCACCGGGCGAGCCGGGCCGATTCGTGCGAAGATGTTAAAGCGGGCTCTACCACTGTTAGAATTTGATCAACCAAATAGGAAAAAAGATTCCCATAGAGTTGATTCATCAGTAGACCGATTCATTTCAATGGGAAACATCCAAATGAATATAACATTTGATATCTATTTTTAAAGTTAATTAACTAAGTGAATATTGGAGACTTACAGGAGTGAAAAACTGTTGGCATTTTGTGTATATCACATCTGCAGGTACATCTGTGAATAAACCTACAAACATTCTAAACATCTTGTAAGCAGTTACAAGTAGATTTTGCATAACTGATGGTTGAACCTAAAGGAATGTTAACAGTCATTAGTCATATTATTTATATAAAGATATATAACATACCAAATGTAAAACATTTATATGGTTCTTAATACATATCAATCAGTAGATCTAGAATGTAAGAAGATTTTGTAGTATATTGTGCAATATTTACCATGTCTCCTTTTTTTTCACCAATTGATGATAGTGCTTTTGTTGCATATGGTATTCTTACCACCTGGAAGATTAATTAATTAAGGAAAAAACTTTTATTTCGTTTTATCCAAACAAATCAATGAAAAAAAGTGTCCTCACCAATACCATCCAATAATTTTTCTCTGGCTGGTAAAATATGTACCTTTTGGTCTGTGTTTGTAGTGCTTCACATGGTTCCGATGAAAATGTTCTTTAAGGAAAAGTTCTCTACATTATATTACCTTTATAAATGTTAAATAATTAAAACACCTCAAAAGTATACTTACGACATAAACTTAACAACTGCCTCGCACAAACCGACCTGTATTTTTCTTGCATCAGCACTAATTTGACTGGGATGGAAGAATAATATCCTTTTCAATTCCTAAAAATATTATTATCGAGTATTACATAAAGTTTTTCATAAAAAAACGAAATAACTCGTGAGGAATAATTTTTTAACTGCTATCGATTCGCATTACATACTTCGCCTTCTTTAGGGCCGAAAGTGGAATTAAAAATAAAGAAAGAATTTATTTTGCTTTCAACATCTATCATTTTGCCGATTTTAATAATATTTACAAAAAGAAACACAATAAAGAAAACAATCGTAAATTCATTACACGATGTTTTGACGTTTTCAGAATTTGACAACCAAGCTAAGGCTAAGATGACAGTGACATATATGATTAATAGAGTATAGTCAAACAACACAGAGCCAAACAAGGACATCTGAATAGGTGGGAGAAGCGCTCCTATCGCGTATTCGAGTCTTCTATCTTCCATGATCTGAGTCTTCCTATAGAACTAGCCAGCTCGTCTTAAAAGCTCGGCGGCCACAGCGAGCCATCTCAAACCTAGTTAAACTGAAGCTATTGCTTTTAGGCAAAGAAGTCTCTTAAAGAATTAAAATGCTAATTGACCTCTAGAAAGAATGCTTAGAAAAATTATATCAAAATAAAAATAAAAACAATATCTACGTTGCCATAGAAACGAAAACGATATTGTGGCGTTGAGAATAATTGTAGACAATAATTGTTGTTTTTTAAGGATATTATAGTGTTAAAATATTTTACACAAGCATAGTCATGGCTATTCGTAATCCCAGACTACCTCTAGTACCCGGATATGGGCGCAATACTCTTGTATGTACCATTTTAATTTTTACAAACTATGTTGGTACAAAATTCATTTTTCAGATTTGCGAAGGTAAATTGTCTCAACTAACAGGTTAATCATACTATTCGGGTTTGGCCATTGAATTATAGGCTAAACGGTGGAATTTATTTTTCCGTCAGAGAGCCAGGTGTACACCTGACTGATTAATTTATATACATTTTTTGATAAAACTTATTTTATAATACAAACACAAATAAAATTAAAACTGTTGGTATAGTTTCTTATTCAAACGACATGTTTTTTCCATAAAGATTGGAAAGAAGAGTTTTGGCGTCCGTCCCATTTTCACGACTATCAACAAAATAAATATGTTAGTTGATAAACCACCTGACTCGGATCGCGTACCCTCTTTGTACGCTCGCAAGCAGGGTCCTGAACTACCCGCCTGGGTAACATACGATAAGCAAGTATGTTTTCATGTTTAATTTCTTTATAAAATATATTATCAAAGCGTTACATTATATTTAAAGGGTACTTAAAATTGTGAAATGAATGAATCGTGACTTTACTAAAAATTAAAATGATAGAAGCAGCCCTTATAAAAATGTATTTTGTTTGCCTAGATCTAGTTCAGACTCGTAGCCTAAAATTAGTAATTCTCTTTAGATTCTACGATTTCGTGGATATTTTAAGCAAAGCTATAATGAGTTGATTTCTCATGTACTGCGAAAGGTTGATATTTGTTTTTTTCTCGAAGACGGAACTATTAAAGTATCTGAACCTAAAACGGAAAATAGTGGCTTAAGGCAAGGTAATGCAAATTTTATTTTGAACCTGTTAATAACTTTTTACGTTTTAGGTTTAGTTGTATATTTATCGTATAATTTTAATTGATTCTCATTACACATGTAATGCATTATGTACCACAAAGGTTATAGGTTTCTTATAGGTTTTTGTAACAATTCTCAGTAGTCGCATTATGAAATAAAATTGGTGGTATTTCACCTTAAAAGCGACAGTCGTAAGTATTGAGTCGATAACGCAGAGCTAAAAACAATAGGATAGGAAGCAGCTTTTAAATGTGTCTGTAAGAAAAAAGGTCGGTCAACCTTGCTATGGCCCTACGTGGGATGACAAGGATTGTATGCATAATAACATCCCACAGAGTGGGCGATACCTGTGGAAACGCGTTGAAATTTTTTATATTGGTAATTTTATCCTGAAGGTGCCGGTAGTTGAAGTAATAATTATCATGTTTTATTTGTTTTTTATCGAACCCAGTATTTTACTGTAGGTTTAAAATTTACGGGAATTGTTTTTTTAAAGTAAATTAGAGATCTTTTTAATCCCGAATTTTCAGGAACATTAATCACTCGACAAAGAATAAGGCTCCCGCACAGCTACGATATGTATTACGATGTCCTTGATTTTAATATCGGGAGGGAAGTCACGTTTCACGGTAAAGTATTCAAGGTAATATTATCACTATTTTTTTTTTATATTATTCATCAAAATGGAGTGATAAAAAGTACTTACATAAATAACTGATAGATTGAATTGTTTTTTTGTAGATTTTAAGTTGTGATAATTTTACAAGGGTGTTTTTAAATCGTTTGGGAATCAACGTGCCGGACCCTATACCGTGGCCTGATGCGGTCGAGGTAAGAGTATTCTCTAAGTAATGTAAAATGTCAATTGTGAAATAAAAACAAATCTTGTTGTTAAGGAATTAAATAAAAACTATTTCCAGAAAGAACCTCCTACATACAGACCACCAAAACCGACGCCTTTAAAACAATTTTTGGAGCATGACAGAGAAATATTACGGTACGCTTGAAAATAATCATTCAAACTTAAATTGAACTAAATTTGTTACCATAATGTACATTTATTTTAGGTTTTTTGGATATTGGGACAATCGTGAAACATATTTCGGGAAGATTCATCATCTAGAGATACACTATTACCTAGCTGATGATACAATTGAAATATTAGAGCAATTACCGCCCAATTCTGGCGTCGAATCTGGACCGATGTTCTTAAAGAGAATGCATCTACCAAGGGTATGATTATTCTTAAATATCGCAAGTTGATCCGTACGAACGAAAGCTGAAAGTAAGATAGATATGAGTGTAACCTCATTCATTGTTTTAACATTAAAAAAAAATCCTTTTTAGAATATACCCCGGCCTGAGATGTCTGGAGGACCTAAACCGGAGTCTTACACTCCAGCCGATCTCAGTATTGGTGCGGTGCTTAACGTGTATGGCAGGAACGTTGTACTGACCGATTGCGATGCCTTTACCAAAGAATATTATCGGGCTACGTACGGGTTTGGTAAGTATTACGACTGTTTAAAGCAAAGAGCTAATAATTAACTATGTTTCAAACACAATAAATGATCTTTAATTTTTAAAATGTCGCGTGGCCCTTATTGATTTGTGGGAAATATTCGGCTCATATTTTTTTTGTTGTCATTATTTTTTTAGATACATTCAATCCATTACCTAATCCTGAAGAAAAGGTTGAATACATCAGTAGTAGATTGGCTGACCGAGAATTACCGCCGTGGAATGGTTACGGATCGTACGAGGACTCCGCAGAGAACTGTCGTACTGTAGAACCTAAAGCACCACATAGAGATTTTATTAAATTTTTACATAAGGACAGGTGTGACGCAGATTAAATTTTTAAAAACAAAAAATAGTTATACGTCTATTAGATTCCAAGTATAATGTGCTCCGTGAAAGATTATTCTTCATGTATATAATAAAAGGCTGGTAGTATAACTTAAATGATTACGAGAAATTAGAGCTTCATAAATACAACTTATTAAAGTTAGCCTAGATGAAGTAACTATCGAATCACGTTTACAAATGGCCAACGGCGACATCACGTGAATAGCATTTACGGTTATCTATTAATGACTTAGTAAATTTTGTAATAAAATACCTTTTTAATAAAAGTTTTTGATTAATTTTCTCTAAATAAATCTGTTTCAGAGACGGTTTTGATTCTCATGTTTTACGTTTCGCTTCTCGTCTTATAAACGATAATCCCGAGGATGCTAAGAGATATTTTATTGTCTTATACTATTTATGTGACGACACCATCGCTGTTTTTGAACTGGGTGAACGTAACTCCGGATTTCTGGTATTATTTTATGCAGACTTACTGCCTAATGGCCTATTCAATTAATCTTTAAAGGCCCTAAGTGCGGTAGTGACTACGGTTTTACAATTCTAGTTTTTAATTTTATTTTTATAAGATTTCTATAATGTTTTCTATTAGATATTTTCCATAGGAGTAATTAAAGTAGATGGGGAGGTCATTGGTTGGGAATATTTAAATGTATGAAATATTTTTAACGGAAAATTTCATAATTTATTTTTAGGGTGGCAGATTTTTCCGTCGTGCAAAAGTGTATCTGCCAGGAGTAAACTTCTACGTTCCTAAGGAGCCTCCTTCTTACACTGATAAAGACATGTGGGTCGGCAACGAGCTCGTTATACATAAACATTGTTTTCGACTGATTGCTGCCGATGAATACGCCTTACGGTACATGGAATTACACGCTAATGAGGTCTGTAAATGCAATGCATTCTTTTAGTTGTCCTACTGTAAAATTATGCAAAGTTATACTACGCCAGTGAAATATTATTTTGTAAATATTACTGGCTACTCTTTTGCGTTTAAGAGGATGTCATAGCATTTTATCTTTACAGTATCTAATGTCTAATATTGCATTGATAATGGACAAAATTCGACGAGCATTGGTCTCTGAAGAAAATGGCTACAAGAACTTTGTAGCTAAGTACATGGAAGCTGTAGAACCGAATAAAAAAGAGCTAATGACTAACAGATGTTTTAAGTGAGATAGTTTTATTTTTCAATTTTTGGAGCTTTATATTATACACTGTAATAAATTTAATGTTAAAATTTACAGGCAAGCAATGAAAGAAATTATGTGCGACAAGTTAACAGAACACGAATTTCTAACTATTATCAGACATTTCCGTGGCGATCCAGGTAAAGAAGAAAGTCCTCGACGAGAAATGTTAAGGTAAGGCATACAACCTATCTGATCGCTGTTGTACTTTGTAATTTCAAACAACAAAGTATGTATTTTGAAATGTAGGCTTATTTCTTAGAGTGCGATTTGATTTTATGTACAGATTTCTGTTTCTATTGTAGGTCTTTAATATTTTCGGACCTTACGCGTGCTTTGTGGGACGACCGAGACAGACTTAAGGAAGGCATAGTTCATGCAGACGAGATGGGTCTAGGCACGCTGCCCGCCCTTCGCCTGCGGCAACTCTTACGCGCCCACAGGCTACCTATCAACGATGATTTAATGGATTGTATGTTTTCAGTGTAAGTTTTTAACTTAACAAAACCTTAATGTGTTTTTGACAAAATATTACTATTAGGGCTGTTAGTTACATCCGCAAGGTGACAGTTTTAGTCACGCTTAAAAGTTAAAGCTAGGTGCGGACTACGTAAAATTAATTGGCCCACCCCAATATGCATCACCTTCCACACAGTTAAAACGTTATTCAACAGGTTGCGTAAAGATGACAATTGTAATATTTACACTGAAGATTTGCTGAACTTTCTCGACTTCCAAACACGGCCGGTGTTCAATATGAGCGACGTGGATTACAATAAGTTAGTGCGACACGCGCCACCTATAAGGGATAAAGAGGTGATTTCTATTACTAATATCCCTTTTTCATTTATTAACTTTTTCGATTTATATGAAAAAGTTCACCACCAGCTGCGAAATCAGTTATTTGCCAAGCCAGGTCCTTAATTCAAGAGTATTTTCATGCAACAAATTTTAATATTAACAATCATTTTATTGTAAGTAAATTTTTAACCTTGCCAAATACTGTCCATGATTTATAAATATTTATGATTACAGTGCAAGTTTTGGACAGAACAAGAAAAGATTATCCAAGAGGGCTTTGTCAATTGGAACGCTTTCCTTTGCCAGTTAAATTTGGAACATGTTGTTAAACCTGATTAAGATTTTCTTGGATATGTAATCTGCGTTCATTTAAAACGAAACAGGAAAGATTATCCAGTTATTGGCTCTACAGCACTACGTGCTTTGATAGTAAAGTATTAAATGTATGAAAAGAAGTAAACTAAAATGTTTTGCGGCTATTTATATAGTATAGATAATATATTCAAAATAAGATGAAAATTTTCATTACTTTTAAGTACATGTCGTGTTGTTTTCAATTTGACCAATTATTGGCTAAATTACCCCAATTATAGTAACAGTAACTATGTCTAATTTAAAAATAAATTTATCTGGCAACTTATGTAATTTATAATAAATAATCTATGAAATTATAAAATAAATTAGTAAAACTCCTTTAAATAGGTATGTAATTAATTATAAGTAAAAAATTAACATTGATGCTAAGCATTATGTAAAAAAATTAGCGTACAAAGCTTTAGCATATGGTCAAAATCAAAATCGTCAATTCTCATCTCGTCATCGTCTAACTCAAAATTCTCAATGACTGCATTGTGAATTAACATTATTTAAAAAATTAAGCATTAAACAAACATTATTCATCATCATCATCAGCTCACTATATGTCCCCACCGATGGACATATAGTGACCTTAACGTTATTCGCATATGTGCAAGTTAACTTTAAGATATATGTAGCCTACGTATATCTATTTAACATATTGTTTGTTGTCCCACTAAAGATTCTATTTTCTTTTTTATTTTCATTTTACCCGAGTTTCGTTGTTACGTCATTTATTTTTAAAATGGAGAATTTTAGCTTTCTTTAAACATTCTTTTGTTTATGTTTAACTTTAGTCTTTTTTCTCTTTCTTCTTTTTGTGGCTTTCTGTATTTATTCTCTTCTTTAATATTTTGTGGTAAAAGATCTTTTTTATTGGTTTTATTAGGTTTTCGTTTAATTATTTTTTCTTTAGGGAAGGGGGAAGAGTAGCTAAAAAACTGTTAAAAAGTTTATTGCGAAGCCGAAGTGTTGTGATTTTTGTAGAGTTAGTTTTTGTAACATTACGCTTTGTACGAGTACCTATTAATTTAAACTTTAGATAAGTATGATATTATATAATAATATTATTTAAAAATAAAATATTTAATGATTTCAAAGTGTTTTAATACTTAAAATTTGTATAATCAATCATGAACGGAAACTATAGTAATGAAAAAATATAGTTCTACAGAAAAAGTAATTTAAACAAAAAAATTCCTCGCGCTGAACGAATAAATTGTTTGAAATGAAAATTAATAATTCTTCATCATCAATTTAACCACGGTTACAGGCAAATAATCTCTTGAACGTTGACCTCCTTTAAAAACACCATAAAAGAAAAAAAAATAGTATTGCCCACTAAAATGCGTTGCTATAGTTACAAACAACGGTATTGCGTTGACAATAAATGTATAGATAACACTTTCTAATTTATACACTTGTTTTGTAATGGTATTTTGTTGTTAAATAATATTTTACACGAATATTAACAATGGGTATGCGTAACCCAAGATTACCTTTATTACCCGGATATGGAAGCAATAGACTCGTAAGTTATTTATTCAATTCTATTTGTATTATATACTTTTCCTTAAAGGTTTCTAACGCTTCGTGGTCTCGCTAACCTATATAAGTAAATTTATATGTGTTTTACAGATTGGAAAAAAAGGTTTCGGCGTCCGTCCAATTTTCACGAGTGTCGACAAAGTCAATATGTTGGTTGATAAAGCGGCGGACACGAATCGCGTACCCTCTTTCTATGCTCGCAAGCAGGCCCCCGAGCTACCCACATGGATAATGTACGACAAAAATGTATGTGCTCTTTATCATTTACTAGCTGTCGCGTACGACTACGTTCGCGCGGAATTAAAAACAAATTTAATATGTATATGTTCTTCCAGACTATGTTCTACATCTATGCCAAACTTCAGCGAGATCCATACAGCCTTTTCGGAGATACCTCCAAAGAAACATTCATCCATCCATCTAAGCATTCACATTTGTAATATTAGTAAGATATTCAATAAACATTTAACGGACATCAAGTAATATGTATGTTGTTAAAAGATTGTTTCTTTGCTCATAAAATATTAATTAATCTTTATTATTTCCTCATGTATACTACAAAGAAAAACATTCTCGGTGTTTGGGTTGTTCAGAAGATGTTGGGAACTTTTTGTCGTATTTAGAAACATTAGGTGGTAATTAATGGAACCACTCAGTGTAGATTGACACTTTAAGATAGTTTAAGTAATGGTTAAAAGACACTGAATGCAATTGAATTATTACTCCACTTACAGATACTCAGATTTCAAGGATATTATCAAGAAAGTCTTCACGAAATGCGCTCTGCTATTCGTGTAGTGCATAAATTGGATATCTTCTTTTTTCTCGAAGACGGAACCATTAAAGTAATGGAACCTAGAACAGATAATAGTGGATTTTCACAAGGTATTTCAATTCAAAGTCTCTTGTACATCATTTACCGTAGGTTTCTGAGAACAAAATCTCCGTTTGAAAGATATCGTTATCTCTGTTTTGTCCAAGATAATGACTGAGATGACGATATGTTTTATACAAAGGTTTTTGTCTCAGACACTGACCATTAAGTAAGCCATTTTAGTAGTTTCAAATGTTAATTGAAATGAATGTTATTTTTCTATGCAATACGATATTTGGTGCCCATTTTTCAGGGACATTAATAACGCGGCAAAGAATTCGACTCCCGCACAGTTACGATTTATACTATGATATCCTTGATCTAAATGTTGGGAGGGATGTAACGTTTTACGGTAAAATAATTAAGGTACTGTTGGCATCACTTAAAAGACTTTTTAATTATATAAATATATTTAACCGATTGCTGATTTCCTATTATTAAATATAATTAACTTATGCTTCAAATATTTTTGTCTCACATATGTTTTGACTTTTTTAAATCATCACGAACTATACTACTATCTATAGTACTATCTATAGTAAACAAAGGAATTATCCAAGTTATTAAAACTTTTATTTTCTTATAGATTATAAACTGCGATCACTATACAAGATATTTCTTAAATCGTCTCGGAATCAATGTACCGGATCCAATACCATGGCCTGATAGTTTGGATGTAAGAGTGATTTTTTTAGTGATTATATATAGTGTTATTTTATATGTATGCAAATGTTACCAACACCATATTGAATATTTTTACAGAGAGCGCCCTCTACTGGTAAACCACCGAAGCATAGACCTTTTAGGCAATTTTTAGACCATGACAGAGAAGTTTTACGGTATGTAATCTTATTATTAATATTATAAATATTGGTATGATTGTTTGTTACTAAGTACTAAAACTCCTAAGCCGATTTGGATGAAAATTTGGCATAGAGATACATTAATGTCTGAAATAGAGCATTATGTTACTAAGTCTCTAATTCCACGTGTACTATTTCCCGAGCAAAATCTAGTAATGTAAAAATAACTTTAATATTGAATTGATCGAAGTTTTCTTTTAGATTCTTTGGATACTGGGACGACCGAGAAACACAGTTTGGGACAGTCCATAATTTGGAGATACATTATTTCTTAGCAGATGACACTATGGAGATAAAAGAGAAGTTACCGCCCAATTCTGGCGTTGAAGCTGCGCCGATGTTCTTGAAAAGAATGCGTTTACCCAGGGTACGTCATTTAATTTTAAAAATATATCCGTGTCTTAAGAAACTGTTAGGAGTTGTAGAAACATTGATTTTTTAACATACATAATTTAAAAAAAAAAATTCTAGAAAATTCCACCGCACGTTGAGATGACTGGAGGGCCTAAACATCCATCTTACTCCCCCGCTGATCTCAGTGTTGGAGCGGTGCTGAATGTATTCGGGAGGAAAGTGGTACTGACCGACTGCGATCCTTTCACTAAAGAATTTTATCGAGTTACTTATGGATTTGGTATGGATTGGATTTAAATAAAAAAGAGCTTATTATAAGCATCAGGTCATCGGGATAATCTTTTAGTTATAACTTTATAATTATTACAGATAATTTCAATCCACTACCTACGCCCGAAGACCGGGGGGTATGCCTTAGTGCTAATATGGCGGAACGAAAATTACCGCCGTGGAATGGTTACGGATCCTACGAGGACTCCGCAGAGAACTGTCGTACTGTAGAACCTAAAGCACCACATAGAGATTTTATTAAATTTCTACATAAGGACAGGTATAAAATACAATCTTCAACATAGATACTTATTTAATTAAATCTGAATATTTAGGATCTCCTAAATACGTCTCCAATATTTAGTAAAAAAAAGATTTTTATGAAATTGTCTTAAATCTTTTCGTATAATTAACGCAAATATTGTATTATAGAGTTGGCTTCGATTCCCATATCTTACGTTTCGCTGCGCGACTCATCAGTGACAATTCTGTTGATGGTAGAAGATATTTTATTGTGCTCTATTATTTATGCGACGATACGATATCTGTGTATGAACTAGGCGAAAGAAACTCTGGCTTTTTGGTATGATATTTTGCAATACTTAGCTATTTCAATAATAAGTTCTGACTTTAACATATTATACACATCATTGATTTTTTGAACTTCTTGACTGAATGTTCTAAACTCAAAATGTTTAATTTGTAAGTACAAATTAAACATTTTGAGATTTTACGTAAGGTGAACTTTCTTTACATTTTTTTTTGTTTTACTAACTGTTGTATTCCTTTATATAGGGCGGGAAATTCTTTCGTCGTAACAAGATGTATTTGCCAGATGTGGACTTTTTCGTGTCCAAAGAGCCCCCTGCTTATACGGATAAGGACATGTGGATCGGCAATGAGCTGGTCATTAACAAACATCGGTTCCGACTTACTGCCGCTGATGAGTACGCCTTGAGATATATGGAACTTCATGCTAATGAGGTCTGTTGACAGAAATTGTTGGGTAAAGAGAATAGCTTATAGATACACTTTGTTAAAGTCAAAAAGTACCACAAAATATCACAATACAGCATTTTATTGTATGAATATTTTAATTGACCGAATGTTTCGTTGACAAAGGTTTACATATGTGCGACTTTTAAATTTTGAGTATTTTCGATTTACAGTATCCTATGGCTAATATTGCATTAATAATGGACAAAATAAGACGAGCTTTGGTGTCTGAAGAAAATGGCTACAAGAACTTCGTCGCGAAGTATATGGAAGCCGTAGTGCCAGATAACAAGGAGCTAATGTCTGTTAAATGTTTCAAGTAAGAAACTCTGCTTTTTAACTTTGTTAACTTTCTGTGGTTTAGTTTCATAATCTTGTTATGGGAACATACTTGCTTATAACAGTGTTTTTAAGGTTATTAAATAATATTTTTATAATTTTTTTTAAATTATCTTTTGTAGACAGGCATTAAAGGAAATTATGTGCGAAAAGATGACAGAACACGAATTTATTACAATTATTAGACATTTCCGTGGCGATCCAGGGAAAGAGGAAAGTCATCGGCGAGAGATGATAAGGTAGGGTGAACGAACAGTACTTGAGCAGTCTAGTATTTCGCTATTCAATTCTCAAGAACTTACTGAACTATTATTTATATATTAACATGTCAGGAATTTTTTGCTTACCCAATGTTTTGATACTATTGCAGGTCATTAGTATTTACAGAGTTGACCCGTGGTCTGTGGGACGACAGGGACAGACTCCGGGAAGGATTATTACACGCTGATGAGATGGGTCTCGGCGCTCTCCCCTTGTCTCGCATGAGGCAACTCTTACTCGCGCATAGGCTGCCCATCAACACAGACCTTATGGATTGTATGTTGGAAATGTGAGTTACATTTTTGTCGTAGCATGATCGATGTAATTTTTATCAACTCTTAGTTTTGCCTAACATGCATTATTACAATCTCTATGGAAATGACGCATACATCCATTTTTAATCATAAATTAGTTGTTTTTCTACACAAACAATTATTAAATTTATATGTATGGGAAGTCCTTTGCTCCTTAAGTACAGGTCTTCCTAGTTAAGGAGCCAAGGCAACATTGAATTTTGAATTTCTTGTGTATAACAATAAAGATTTTTTCATTTTTTTTTTCATCTTTGAAGTTATATAATTTTTTTGGATAGTAAATAAAATGAAGATTGTGTTTTTTAAATATAACAGGCTGAGTAAAGATGAGAATTGTAATATTTTCTATGAAGATTTGATGAAATTCCTTGACTTTCAAACACGACCAGTGGTCAATTTGAGTGACGCTGAGTTTGCTAAAGCAGTCCGTCATGCGCCACCTTTAAAAGATGTAGAGGTGAGTTAAATATTTTATTCGTATTATAAATTCTTCTTAGTTATGAAAGCAGAGATACAGTAATATATGAACATACTTTACGAAGATAAATATGGTTCATGACTACTGTTTTTTGGTTCAGTTTCTGTTTTTACATTTTTTACCGTCATGGAACAATGTTTTAAACTCAAATAATACAGGAAATGTATTTCTGAATGTATAAATTAAATTACTTTGACCCAAATGATTAATTTCTTTTTAATTTATAAATTGAATTTTTTTTTCAGTGCAAATTTTGGGCGGAACAGGAAATGATTATTAAAGAGGGTTACGTAAATTGGAACGCTTTCCTTTGCCAGTTAAATTTGGAACACGTTGTTAAATCTTAACCGTATTATAGGTTTTGAGTTTGTTTTACTTATAACTATTTAGACGGAATTTATTTTTAAAGTTTTTTTGTAATATTATTTGGCAAATAAAACAACTGTTTTTTTAAATTTGTTTCTATTCGATCACAATAAATAACCTCGACCTATTCTCACTTTTTACATTTAATCTACCAATACATAGGTACAAGTTCACTGTTGTAAAACATTTTTACAATATTGCATAAGGTTTTTACAAATATTGTACAAATAAATATAAGTCACGCACATTTTTAATTATTACAAATATTCTATATAAAACGTACTCTATGTACACAAATGCATATGAATTTTCGTTGCTCTAATAATATTTTAATTCAAATTTTGATGTTAATTAAACATTGAATACACCAATCAATAATATTGGTTAGTAATTTAATGAAAGCGTAACAACGATTGCTTTTCCTTAATATATATTTGTCTATTGTTTTACCAAAATAATTTTATTAGTTATTCCTAATTAGGATTTGTGTAATTGTACATACGTTTGTGTCAAAATAATAAATAACTTATCTAATTAGTATCCTATTTGACTTCAGTTTAAATTCACCTAAAATTTCTCAGATAGTGTATTGTCTTATTTTTTGTTTTTAAAATTATCATTGAGCACTATCTTACTGTATAGGTATTGGAAAAATGTTTTTTAGTAAAATAATATGTTTAAAATAGTATACGCCAAAAATTCTATATGAGCAGCTTGATTGCGTTATTGATCATAAAATTTATTCCATCTTTCATAAAAAACTGCTCTAAATGCAAACAACTATTGTATTGATTTAGGCATAATGTCCTTAAGTCTAAATATGAATGTGTAAAGTATGATTATTTTCCTCCTAGTTGGAGACGGTCAATAAAGTCGATTACAGATAAGTAAATAGAAGAACTATAAGTACAGAATGTGTCATTTTGCGATGACGCAATTCAATATTATTCTGTATAATGCATGGCACAAAGCATTCACTGTCTTTGTCGATGTCTATAATAAATTCACTATTTATTTATAAAATTTACATAAAAGTAGCTAGTTTAAACAATCACCGTCGCTTATGACACTGGATACGCGAATTATAATTTAAAATATCAACTAATAATTTACATATTTACAATACTTAATATAATCACGAGGTCGATCAGGAAAACTTGTTTCAACGTCAATTTAATACTAAATTTTTCATTGTTTATCACCACATGTCTTTGACCCTTTCGGCAGCCGGCAGTTGCGGTCGATACCTGGAAGATAATGAAGAAATTAAATTCGAATCGAAACATTTTTTATATTAACGGACAAATGAGCGAGAGGCCACCTGAAATCGCTGAAATAGCGAAACAACCGTAGCCTATAGACATCCGCAATTGCAGATGCGTTTTCTACCTTTAATCGACGGAGGAGATGCACAGGAAGATAATATTTTCCCTTCCCATGCATCTGGAAAATCCACTCCCACTTCCCATCGATAAATTATAAGAAGGGAAAGGGGATTTTAATTATTAGTAAATACACTCGTCAGAGGAAACGCAGAATCTCTTCCACTTGACGCCTGTTTTCTATGGTATTGGGGACGGACTGGCCAATTCATGTGAAGATGTTAAACCGGGTTCCACCATTGTTAATTTCTAGAATTATTCAATAGCAAAGCTACTATACCTGTGAGGAGATATTGGAAGGGAAGGAGTAGGCGGGCTGCCCGGCAGTGGTGACATCTTGATACCAGAACTATTACCGTTAATACTTGAACCCAGACTCGACGCGGAATCAACCCTGAAAAAATCGGTACTTAAGTTAGTTGCATCGATAATATTGGCAAAAAGTAATTTAAAATTATGTAATGATATTATTACATGATTGAAAGTCCAATTATGGTACCAATGGATTCGTGCTTTTGCGAGTAGAATCGTCACAAAGTTCCCAATAAGTTTTTACGGAGTTCACGAACATATTTTACTGTTTAGGTTTATTTTTATCACACGATTACCTGTCAATCTGCCTCCTGAAGAGTGGGTACCGCCAGGGTGAGTTGGGCTTGCGTTCGTGCTGGTAAGCGGGGTTATCACGCCCCAGCCCGCGTCCACGCTCGCCGCTCTCGTTTACTATCGACATTGATACCTGACGCTCAGAGTCGCGAGTTTTCGATGATAACCTCCTGAAATTGTTAGATTACAATATTTATAATCATCAAAGTGAACCCAGAGAGCGATGGAAAACTAATTCTTAATGTTGGAGAGCGATGGAAAACTAATTCTTAATGTTGGAGAGCGATGGAAAACTAATTCTTAATGTTGAATGGCCGATTACCTTGTTATGATGGTAGTCAAAATTTTATGTTACAAGTTACGTGGTACGTAGAAGTTTACCTTAGTATCCTACTGGGCAGCGAGGCCTGCGCTTGCGGCCGCGCACGCTGCCGGCTGTCGACGATGAGCACGTGTCGGTCGTACGGCGTGTCGTAGTCCACCTCCAGCACAGTGGAGAACCGGTGCGGCCACACTAAGTCGAGGGTCGCTATTACCAGACCCACGACCAAACATAAGCAGCCTGTGTATTCAAAAAAAAAGCTATGTTACTATCATCTTACTTATTTCTATCTTCTTATTAATATTATAAATGCATATGTTTGGATGAATGGATGGATGTTTGTTACAAGGTATATCCAGAACGGTTTCATGGATGCAAATGAAATTTGGTATATAGATGTATAAAACATTTTCTTGACGAATATATACGACACGTATGAATCCATTTGTTTTTACATAATTACTATACTACTATGACGTTCAACGGTTAAGCACATTTAATAGAAACTTGGCGCAGATATAGAATAAAGTTTCATATAACAACATTATAATTTACTATTCATTCTGATATTTTAGAAATTCCGCACGGACTAAGTGGCAGGAAAGGCTATCCATACAATTTATTAATACATACATAGTAGTTTTTATAAATAAAATATTACATACCTGCAATAAGTACTAGATAGAAACACCATCCGAGTGAGAAGAACAGCATGGAGCCATCGATTCTAACGACTAGAGGAACATGTGGCAAACAGGCCCAGTAGCCTCCAGCGGCGGCGCACAGTGTTACGCCCACTGACGTCATAGCGTACGCCCCGTACCTCGGCACCACTACCAATAGTAGATTCATCAGCAGCCATAGCGCTAACGCCGTCCTGAACAGAGCATCAACTGATTATGTTATTGCATCTCGTTCTTCATAAAGAATGGAAGTACACCCGGTATACTTTCTTACCAAAGTAAGGTTGATGTTGTGTACCCGGCGGCACGATACTTGGCGCCCCACTCGAAGCCATCGTGCTCTGCTGCGAAGTGCTCCGCTACTGAGAGCAGGGGGTAAGGCAGACCACGCACCAGCCCCTTGCGGTACCACTCCTGAATGGCACCAGCTTCCTCCCACCGGAATTGTTCGTTGTAATCCACGCCAGGATCACCAGTTGTGGTGTTACCCCATGATAACGCTGAAATCGAATTATTTGTCATTTAATTTCGTTGTTTGACTTATTAAAGTGTGTCGACATATTTAATGATGCAATTACCATTGAGGGTTACATTAACGTGTCCCAGACCAACGTGTATTGCGAGCCAGCAGTCGAGACGCTCCGCGGAGAAGGCCCGGTAGGCGGCTCGAGCCACGCGAGCTCCTGCCACGTGCCATGACGAGCCGTGCTTGCATACTGGAATTATTAATTTCCTAATCAAACAACAAATAAATGGTTTATATGCTATAATAATTTGATCACCAACACGTGGAATGTTCAATAAAAAGCATATTTTACTATTAATGATAACTATTTATACTAACATAGCAAAAACGCTTGCTATTCGCAGTAAATTAATCACAAAAAGGTAAATATTATTTAAACACTTACCGAGAATAACGGTGCCTACAAATAGGCTGAGCGTGACTATCGTGAATGTGGAAAATCTCTGTAACAAAAAAAAACAATTGAAATGTAAAAGAAATTTTAAACATACGTTATATTTCAAAACAATTAAAATAAAAATTGAAAATTTGGCATTTGCGGTTTTTAAAACAAGTGAAAATTCCGTAGCAAAGGATTTTTACGTGTTCTTAAATTGGGGAGTTATAGTTTACTGATTGACACATAGTTTACAGGTGTTTCTATAAAGTGCAAGATATTTCACACATTTCTTGACCTTTACCGCCAGGACATGAATGAATGACTCACATGGCGCTTGAGTCACACATGACTGACAAAAATATTTACTACGATTGCTTCGTCATTTATCAAGAATGTTACCTTTTGCACCATGAAATAAAGTCGGAGGTTAACTGATACGTGACCTATAAAATGAGTACCATAGTCTATTACTCTATCTTTTTAATCCTACTAATATAAAGTTGCTACCAGTACATAAAATGGATTGATTTTATAAATATCCTTTTTTAAACATATAAGACATTAAAATCATTTAAAAATATATTTACTCACAGACTGCCAGCCGCCTCGTCGGCTCTAAACGAAAAATTAAATTTTGTTACACAATTTTCTTACTATTCATTTTATATCTTAAACTATGTTGTAAAATTATGAGACGATCATAATATCGGTTCCTTATTATATTAGTTTAAATCAGCTGCAATGTGTTTCAACACATTTCATGCCACTACTACATTTTATAGTGAACTTGCCAGATGAGTCGGTGGCAATGAACATGTGAAATTGGTTCCTTACCTCTTTTCTGATGCCGGGGAAGACAGCGAGGAAGGCGAGGTAGAGCGTGAGCGCGGCGATGAGGAGAGCCAGCGCGGGCACATCAGCTGCTACCGCCGTGCGGTTGTGGTACGCGTACAGGGTCGGTCCGCCTTCCTCGCGGAAAGCATCGAACCACCCCTTCATCTCTCGCCCAGCCTGCAACATACAAATATTTAATAAATAAGTAGTTTTCAATTATTACCATTCAAATTGCAGATATTAGAAAAATAAATAATGAAAAATAGACTTCAATTAAAATAATTAATTTATACCCTAAGTTAACGATCGTACTCTTAATTGAATGTTACCTAGTTTCTCATTTTAAACAAAGAAATAATGCCTTGAATGCGTACGTTTAAAGTAACTGGTTGAGAGGAGCGCGACGCGGCGGAATGTCTCGCTTACGAAATGGCCCAGTTGCATTCGCCTTCGGGAAACGGATGCAGTATTTTGCCGCTCTATGGCTCCAACCAACAGATAATTAAATCATAACAAAATGCGTTCTCGATGCAGAGATTGTGAACGCAATTCGAATATAACGCAACCGGTGGCAGATTTTGTGGGATGTGCAATTTGTTTGTTTTGTGAAAGGAACTATGTTATTTATGATAGGCAATTATCACATTATGTTAACCTAAATCGTTAGGAATACCACCAAGGAAGTCGATATGGTGAATAACAACATTAGACTAGATGAAGAAAAACAGACTATTTTTGATTATGGGAATAGAATTACTATACTATTATTACTCAGTGGGTTTCGGTTGACTTCAGATCATTTCAAGTCGAAAGGTGAATAAAGATATCTATGTATACATTTGTGCTTTAACGTTAATCGTTAAAACTCGTAATCGTAAAAAATCGTTTTAATATTTTAAGAAAGAGGACGATACAAGGAAAAATATCGATTAAATTCAGTCCCTAGTTAAGATCATGACATGAATTAATTTGGATTAAAACAAAAGAATGTGTTAAAGTATTTAGTACCATTTAATTAATTTGCACTTATGATATCACTCCGCGTTATAGATTAAGAATAATTATTAAAATAATGCATTAAGCATACCTGAGCGAAATAGACATAGTTGACATTAAAATAGCAACACTATTATACAACTATTTAAAAATAAACTTGCTTCGATTGAAGTTCGAGTAAGCAAAAAATACTGTTGGCCTTTACGTTCATGGTTATAAGATCTTGACATAGATATATATTCGAACGGAACTCGGAACTCCGTATCCATATTCTGTGCTCGATTTTATATCGAGTACCGGAAGAAGAAATTAACTTAAACAATATATATGTGCAGGTTTGTTTGTGTTCCGTATAATAATATAACTGAACATATATAAAACATAGTTTATTTAAAATTAAAGTAACAGTGGTAAGATAATTGCTAGCGAAGGTTGAAACTTTTGTGATCGGAATTGTTTTTTTTTTCAAGCTGAATTTAAATGTTTGTTCAATTTGCTTCGATTGAAGGAAAATAAATTATAGGGCATTGTACTAATACGGAAATTCGATCGTTCATTGAAATATAATTGATTCGAGGAAAAACTGACGACCTTTAACGTGGATTGAATTTCAAGATGTTTGACAATGAAGAATAATATTTCTTAATTATGTAAATATATGATTGGTTTTCAAAATGTTTTTGTTACTTCGATACTAACAAATGTATAGAAACAAAGGGATAGATGTTATATATAAAACTATACATATGTGTAAGTAGTTTCAAAACATATACCTTATGTATAAATTGCTCGTGTCACAATGTTAGTTACCATACTGCTCCGAAACGACTTGATCGATTTTTATGAAATTCTATATGCCTATTCAGTAGGGCTGAGAATGGGTTACTATTTTAATCCCGCGCCGACGAAATCGTGGGCGACAACTAGTATATAACAACATCACGTTATAAAATACATTTTTTTTTGTAAATCAGCACTTTTTCAAGCGTAATATGTAAACATATAATATATCAGATCGAGCATTGTTTAAAATAGTCGAATGTTATTTTATTTAGAATAACTTTATCCGGAAACAGTTCGTTGGCGGCAAAGGTCGGGAGTTGGTGAAGGAACAACATTTGTGAGGCGAGGCTCGAAGGCCTTGGACTGTCATCGGTGGATAGCAAGGGCGGTATATGCCATGGCCGTTATGGATCATAAACAGGATAAAGAGTATCATTTTTAAAACACACACAGACATCTTAATTACTAGACACTGTACAGAATAACAACGAGTTTCCTATTCAATATTAAATGATATTTAAATTGTAAATACTTCTAAATATTATTTATGCTGCATGACTTTCATTATTGGTAGTATTGCAACATCTACTGTTACCTTGTATGTTTAATATTTGCTTTTAATACGTACCTATTTAGAATGTTGTAATGTCATGGTTAATGGCTATTGAATTGTTTATGGTTAATACAATTTATTTCAGATAAATTATCACATTCTTTAAGCATAATTTAAAGATAATAAAATCTCTATATCTGTGTAGTTTTATCTAGTCAATATGTTATTATCTAGTTTAATCGTTTAGTTATACTAATATTAAAAGGAAAGATTTGATTGTTTACAATGAACACGATCCTAAGAAAATTTCCTAAAAAAAATTGAATGATTTGAAAAAATAATTAACTGTTGGGAAACTACTCTATCCCCGGGTGACATTGACTATAATATCGGCTATATTCATTTTGTAATGAATACAATTCATAGAAATTATAGAAAAATAAAACAATAGAATATGTTTTAATATATTTATAAGTCTATTGATTTATTTTTAATTCCGTGCGGACGAAGTAGATGGCCTGTGTTCAATAATAAGTGCAATTGAAAATCCCGGGTAACATTATAATAAGCTATAGGTCATTTTAAGTATAATAGTAAAATATTTTGCGTTTTTAGAACAAAGCCATAAACTTCGTAACAACTATGCCTAGGAACCATAACTAAACAAATGTCGTACCTCGTTAAAAATTTTAAAATTCTGTTTCGTCATTTCGTAGTTAATGTGTTGCTATTTAAAACTATGCTTAGAGCATACTGTGGTTCAGATTTTCATGAATACTTTGACTATTATTTTTAATGTAATATAGTATCTAATAGTTCTATATATACTTGCAATATTAAACTACACAATTAACTGTATAGTCTTAGTAAAGTATCCCAATAAACAAGTACGAAAAGGTTAGTAATAGTGAAGTGGTGAACTTTAACAATTTGAATATGTCGATTATGTTCTGATTTTCTTGTATTATTTTAATGATATCATAGATCAAGCGTCAATAGCCTAATGGTTAAGGGTACGGATTTCCGATCGCACGGTCGGGGGTTCGAATCCTGCCATTCGACTATTGTCGCAAACCATATCCTAGCACAAGCCTAGAGCTTAGTTAGAATGGTAAAAGAAATATTAGTAAATTAAAAAAAAATCTGCTAATATTTAAAAAACACATACACACACACACACAAATCATGGACGTCAAATATAATGAAAAATAATTATAATTCCAAAATATTGAAGGTCAAAGTGTCAAATTCAAAATATATTGTTGCAGGTCATGTGCTCGAGTCATACTTTTTATAACTCAATATATATTTTATTTGTTATTTGTCGGTTCATATTAAGGTTACCAGGCCAACAGGTTGTGTGAAGGCTAAGTTATCGTATAATACAATATTAATATTTTTTATCTATGTTTCGTTGACCAGGTATTATTATTAAATAAAGATTTAATACTGTTTGTGGCGCTACGATGAGTTAATATTTGTTTAAGGTCTGTCATAATTCCCTAACATATGCAACAGTCAATATGCAAATCTTTGCAGTTTAAAAGTAAACATAAAGTTAAATAGTTTTTTTTATACATATGTTAAAACCTTTGCTACAATACGTATGTTATAAGTATACAGCAAGGAATAGTAAAGATATATTTATATGTATTTATAAATTATTTCCGAAGTTATTTTTAACGATGCTTAATTACAATAAAGTAAGCTGTAAGTTGTAAGATTAGAGATACAATTAGTACAATTTTTATGCTTGTTGTTGTTAAATTAAAACCTATTTAGAACACTGGCCGTAACGAAAGATTGTACGAATATATATATATATAATATGTCAAAAAGAAGTGACCTACAGTTTAAGAAAAAAGTAATAACGTGTGTCTGCAATAAAGAACCTGGACTGTGAGAAATAATAGTTTTATTGGCAAGATCCCTCACACTTATAGTGTATAAAGTAAGTGAGGATGTACGTAAATAAAATATGATATATCAAGTACGTGATGAGAATTGTTAACGTCAATTGACAAGGTGATGTCACTCACCTCCGGTCTAGAGACCAGAACATCCTCAATACTGTGGCCTTGTGGCTGACAGAAGCTACGCTTATATTAGAGAGAAGTCATTTAAATAATTGTTGTAAAGTACATTTTAACGTAAATTTTTAAATACAATCTATGAAGTAAATTCTTTCGTATTTGATTAGATTGATAAAATCTTGTGACTTTATAATACAATAAAAGATGGAACCAAATTACAGTAACGAGTTTATATATAACTACATCTTACTTTTTGGCTAAAGTTTCATACATATTATTTGTAATACTATTTAACGTTGGTGTCAGAAAACAATGATTAGTCGCTAATTATTTACTTAATAAATTTAAGATATGTTAAAGGGCAAATTATATTGTCTAGTCATACTGTTTACAATTAGTAGTTTGTCCTTGTTTGTTTCCTAACAGAATTTATTTAACTTAACTACCGCTGACCTTTCGGTCGTCTTGAGGGCAAGTGTCATTATGCTCCTAGTTATTGATTAATGGTAAGAGACAATATATCTTGCTAAATTGTTATTTGTTAAATTCAGTTTTGAATGTCATAGTAGACATTTTTTTATAACAGAAGTTCATGTTCATGTTCAACGAGGCCAATGGACATCAGCAATACCAGAGGAACCGAAGATACATTAATTTAATTTTAAAGTGATATTTTACTTCTTACTAATATTATAAATGTGATGAAAGATGTTTTAATGGATGGATGGATGGATGAATCTTTGTTGGAAGATATCTCCAGAACGACTGATCTTGATGTGATTTGGCATACATATAGAGCATGGTCTGGAAGA